CCATATAAGGATTTTATTATATTGCATATTTTATCCTCATTTTCGGGTAAATAAAACCTTTCAATTGTTCCATATAGACCTCCTCATCGAGATCCCCATTTAAGAATGTCATTTTAACATTCATTTGATGTATATGAAAATCATAGATTAAAGCTAAAGTGAATATAGCCCTAATTGACCTTATTCGTGCAACTAATGCATACGTGTCAAAGTATTCTATTCCTCCTTTTTGTTGATATCATTTAACCACTAACCTAGCTTTAAAGGTATTAAGAGTACCGTTCGCATTGTACTTCCTCCTAAATACTCATTTACAGTGTATAGGTTTTTATCCAAGTAATAAATCGACTAATTTCTAAGTGTTGTTTGACATTATTGAGTTAATTTCATTATTTACAGCATCCTTCCAAAATATTCTATCTCTAGATAATATTGCTTCTTGATAAGTTTTAGGATCAATTTCCACTTGAAGAACATACGGAGTAGTTCTTGTGACACTCTTCTCATTTCCCTCAACTAAATGAAAAGAAATAAGTTGAATGTCTAATTCATCCGGTCCTAGAACTTTCTCCTTTCAAGCTCTTTTACTTATATGAAGTTCATTTGTTTCAATATCATCAGAAGGTGTTTCTATTTGTGATCTTGCAAAACTAGGAATCTCCACTTGAGTTTCTCTTAAAGAATCATTATCTGAAGATAATATATTCTCAAAGAAATCTACTTCGTAGGATTCAATAATAACATTGGCTTCCAAGATTAATAAACGATATGCATTGCTATTTTGGGCATATCCTACAAAATCGCATTTGATCCCTCTAGGAATCAACTTAGTCCTTTTTAAATCTCTATTCTTGCTATAAGCAAAATATCCCCACACTTTGAAATAACCAATATTTGATTGTCTTCCTTTCCATAATTCATATGGAGAAACCTTAAATCTTTTAGAAGGAATCTTATTAACTATGTGATACACACTTAATAAATCTCGACAACTTAGCACTTAATAACATATCATTTATCATGCCATAAAGAAATAAATTTAACAACATAATTTAAATTTGTAGTTTTATTAATAGTATTGTCAATAGTACAAAGTTTGACCATTCCATAACTAGAATATCCTTTTCGATTCTGAGAAAGTATAAGTTTGCCTGACTCATACGTGAACTTAATTCTCGATTTTCCCAATAAGTCACCACTTACAAGGTTACTATTCATATCCGGTACATGAAATTTATTAATGTGATCTTCTTGCTAGATGTGAGTTGTAAGTCAATGCTTCCTTTGCCAACAACCTTTTATTGATCAACTTCATTCCCCATTTGAATGTGTTTGTCAACCACTTCTTAATAAATTTTGAAAAAGGGATCTATCATATCACATATGCATGGCAGCACAAGTATCATACCACCATCCTTGAACCTTTCTTTTGACCGAATTCACAATGCTCACGGTAGCAATGATGTTGTCAACTGAGTTTACTTTGCCGTGTTACGTTGGTTGTTTGCAATATCTGCAATCCCGAACATAATGTTCTGATTTTCCACACACATAACAAGAAATTTTGAATTTCTTCTTGTTCTTGTTATCTTTGTTGGGGCTTGTGGATTTCATCTTCTTGGAATCATTGTTGTATTTGTTTAGTTGATCCGGGGCATGGGCTTTGAAAGTGTCCTCATGAAAATGTTCATTTCCATCTCGTGCCCTTGACTCTTCCTTAATTTGAAGATATTTTTGAATTTCTTTCAAAGAATAATCTTGAGAATTGTGAAGGATTTTCTTCCTATAACTTTTCATGAAGATGGCAATTTCACAATGATTGCACCATCTTGGAAAATTTCTGGAAGATCTATCTTCACGACCTTCATTTTATTGACAAATCTTTTATCGAGGTGTTATTTGTGTAGAGATTATAGAGGCGGTCGAATAGAGCGTTCAGAATGTGTCCTCTACATATCAATTTATCTTCTTATCTCTTCTTCTTTTCTGCCCTTGCTTCGTCAATGTCATTTTGGGTTGGTTCTTGTAATGGTACCAAGTTTGAATCCAAAATGTAGAAGATCTTCAATGTTGTGAGAAGAAACTTCAATTTGTCCTTCCATCTTGTAAAGTTCGAACCGTCGAATTTGTTAAGCATCACAAGGTCTTGAGTCATCATCTTTATCATAGCCATGGTTGTCTCGTTCTCCATGTTGAAAGTATCATTTGAAATTGTTGAACAAAGTTGATGAAGAACGAAAATAAAACCAGCAACAAGAAATCACCAAAATGGAAACAAAAATTGGAAAATGAACTTTGAAGAACAATATAAAAAAAGTAGGTTTGATCTTTAATTTTGGATGTTGATGAATGAATTTGATGATTGTAATATATATAGAACTCCATCATCCATGCACAAAAATGTGCGAAAACTAAGCTAAGAGGATGTAAAACCCTTCAAAACGACACTAGAAATTCAAACACAACGATTAGAATTTTTTTGTATTGGGCAAAATCCGGCGCCCGCCCATTTCATTAAAATGGTCATTGTAATGCCCATCTTTAAGGTTGGGCAGCCGCCCAGACTATTTTTCAGCCTTTACCCTCTATTCTCGTTTTGTTTTCGCTTGTTGTTCTCATGATTGACATCTTCCATCACTTCCAAAATCATTTCTCATTGTTAATTTGAATAATATCCAATACGATATAGTCATTGATCGTTAAGACAAGTGTCGCACTCTTGTATGATATTTGTTTTGTCACTTGTCACTCTTAACGCTCTGATTAAAAGGTAGTGAGCATGGGAAATACTTATGGAACCAACCCAACATGATATATATCATCCCTTCCAAATTCTACCCTTTGTTTAAACTCAAGTGTCAATTCGGACTATATTAATTGATTGATTGTCGTTCAAACCCAAATCTCTTCCAAAAGGTTAGTTCATTGGTGAGTGCTCAATTATAGTGTTGTACTTGTAATACATAGAAAAAAAATGTTAAGCCACTTGTACAGAATAATGTTGTCATATTATTGCCACGGAGACAGATGGCTTTTTTTGGATTGGATGTTGGCAGGAAAAATGTTAAAACAGACCAATTAAATGTTGACACCTGGCATCCTACACAAAATCGGGCAAAATCCCCTTGTACATCTAGCAAAGTCCTGGAAAAAAATATTTGTATGATAACATATAGTTATGATTCAGGTGTTAGAATTTTTTTTTATTTGAGCAGTAGTGCTATATATTCATAATCAACAAATGCAGTAATCATCATATATTATATCTTACGTGACATAAAATTATTAAAAGTTATTCATTTTTAAATCGCTAACTATGAATAGCATTATTGGAGCAGTAAAGTGTTGTTATTAGTTTATTTCGGCAATTTATAAATTTATGATTCTAATGAGTACTTGCGTTATAAGTATTGGTATAAAAAAAACAACTTTAAAAATACACCACATTTCTTGACGAAAGTAATTGACAAAGATCATATAAAAAATACGGTTCATGTTCAGCCAATTATTTTTGAATTGATCCCTTTAATCCTAACCGACTATTAAAAGTAAGAAGGTCGCGATAAAGGTTAAACATATGGCCAGTTAGAAGGAAATGTCCATTTTTACTTGAAACTTAGATAGGTAATAAAAGTAAAAGTAGAATAGAAAGAGTTTGATAGCTGGGAAAGATTTGACACAACTTTTTGTTTTTGCTTTTGTTTCTTTTAAAAAGAACTTTATGGAAAAGCTATCTAAATTTTTATTTGAAAACTAACTTTTGAAAGATTTACTTATTCCGAAAGTGTTTTTAGAAAAAAGTCACATTGAACCAATTTCTTCTAAAAACTTTTTTAACTAAAGAGTCATTTTCATAAAATTAGACGAACAGATCGAAAAGTAACTTTTGAATCTCAAAACCTCCTTTCAATTTTTCAAAAGTCATATCAAATGAATCCTTAAATAACATCGTTACATTTTATATTAAGACTTTTCCCAAAGCATGAAAAGATCAGCATGCTCATAAACAGGACTTGATTTGTCAGCTCCACACGCAAATAGCCATTATTGAAAGATTTTAACTAACAACTTATTGCTTTTAATAATTAAGTGTTGGCTCTTTCGTTGAAAACCATAGATAATAATTGTTACTTTAATTAAAGAATAATACTATTTAGTATTAGTGATGATCGAGCACCAATTTACATTGTCATACTCTATAGGTTCAATAAAATGAATCATGCGACATTGCATTTAAGTGAATTTATCATTTAATGTCATACAATTGTCACGTAAACTGACGATTAATTAACTTACTAAAGCAATAAATGATGTGTTTGCCTCCGGATAAATTTTAAAGATGCTCACATTCGATATCTTCCATTATAGCTCATTTGTATTTTTTGCGTCTATATTTCGCCTACTCACTAGTAACGATACATAACTCGTTTTAGTCGAGCATTAGTGTCCCGATTGCAAGATCAATGCAAGCATAGTAGTGAACATATTACAAATTAAATACTAAGTAGAAATAAAGTTTTTGAAGTAATAATCACGAAGTTAACAAGAGGAATCTTCAAAAGAAGTGGAGACGGTCTCATCAATGCTAAAGAGTAAAGACCCTATTGTGTGGACCCATCCAATACCCACCACTAATATCATGTGGCTTGTTCTACTACAACGAACATATCCAAAACTTCTCGCTCCCACCGGCAGGTTGATGAAAATGGACTCACTGATGGAGATAGTCGTGGTACTTCATTTGCACTAATTTGTACAAGAATGCAAGGAAGTGCCTTTTTCGCTCAAAATTGGCAAAATTTTTGGGTTTCTATCGACGGTAAGACCCTTCTTATTGTCAAAATAAGGGCATCATTTATAACATAAAAGCTAGGTCAAACATGCTCTAAGAAAAAGAAAAAAGAATCAATCTCTAATCCAGCCAAAGAAAAACCTATGGTGAAAGTGCCTAATTAAAAAACCATCTCTCACCATTTAAATTCACACAATCGTACAAGAAATTAAGTTGGTTTCAAGTTGTGAAACATTGTATCCCACCTCTTATCTTCAACAGCAGATGACCAATATTCTTCATAATCTTGATGATGCATTTTCTGATCGTCTTTGTGAAGATCATGCGACATCATATATAGGGGGCTCGACAAGCTATTAGTTTGCGAATTATGCATCAACATAGGACTACCATTTGTAAGCAAAAGTGGTGTTTCTCTACTTTGTTTAGTTACCACCAGTCTCTTGTTCCTCTTGACCATATCATAATTCCATCCTGATCTATGGCCATGCCTTGGCACGAGCGCGAGAGAAGAGTCCTCACGACGGGTCCGTGCATGAAAATACTTAGAAAACCACCTCTTCGTCCTCTTGATAGCAATAAAAAGCCTTGACATGGGATGTGGAACGCTATCTTTTTCTTTTCTAGCAAGCTTGAGAATTTCAAGCCTATGTTTGGCTATTGAAATTCCCATGCTTTGGAGGAGCTCGTGATTGAAGTAAGCTATATCTTCTTCTTCGAGCTCATTGTGAGAAAAAGCTAGGCCATACTCATAAATAAGGGAGGGCTCTAGCCCTGTTTTTGAGAGCCAAGAAAACCAGTCCATGGCCTATATGATGTGTGTTAAATGAAATGAGGGTGTTTGTANTACCTATTTCACAAGCATTTTATCGGGCGGGGGGGGGGGGGGGGGGGGGGGGCGCGAATACGGGGACTCTTAAGGCCAAAAATCAATTAATTGTGAATCAAAACACGAGACTGAGAACTAAGAAAAATTGTCATCAATCACGGCTTGGAAAAGCAGTCCACGAATCACACAGTAAGAGCCTATACCACGCCAACCTTTCGTTTTTGCTTATAGAACACGGCATTTGCCGCATTTCCCCTTAGATCCTAATTTAGTGGTGTCAAAATGGGGCGTCGACCGTCAAGATCTGGCCAACTCAAACCTTAGAAGACCAGATTAAAACACACTTGTTCAATTCGAACTCATTTACATGTTGATCTACCTTAATAAATGAGTCGTGTCAGACTTAATCGTCCAGCCCGATGACCCATGGCCTAGTTGGCGAAACTATTGAAAAATTAAAATATTAAAGTAAGGGAACATAAATAACACTAAAAACAACACTAATTCTCAATACTAATTTTTTAAAATACTTTTTTATTATTTATCGTTGGTAATAATATATGCATAAATTATATTTCGTTAACTAAAAATATGTGCATAATTTATATTCTATCGACATACAATTTATCAAATAGAGTTACGACATATCAAAATCATGGTACATGGATAATAATGAGCAAATAACGACTTACTAGGTTACAGAAAATGCATAAATTCGAAGGAAATAAAATGAAGGGAGATGTGCGATTGCAAATTCCGCCTCTGCACTAGGACTAATATGATCAAATGAATGTATGTCTCTCAATATACAATGTTTCTTCCAAACGTTAATATAACACAATATTAATTTCTTCAAACAAATCAAAACTGGATTGTATTCTTCTAAACATGTTGATATTAAATATTAAAATATCAAACATGAAACTTTGATTTAATTTGAAATTTATTTGACATTATTTGGAGAATGAAGGAAATAAAAATCAATTTAGTTGAATGATTTAGGGTGAAGAAAAGTGAATGAACTAGATTCATTTTATAGATTGAATAAGTCTTTTCGGAATGACTGCATTTTTTGACATTAATTCATTTGGACCATTAGATCACACTATTTCAAATTGAGACATGATCTATTGATTTAGATCGCACTCTATCGAAAGGCCCCGACTATTCATTATACACCTATTGCACTTGAAGAGTCTCACTTATTAGAGACTTATTCCAATTCAAGCATTTTAATATTTATATACCCATTAATTCCAACATTTTCTTAGAAAATTTTGGAACACAATGTGTTATGTTACACACGCTTTGCCACATGTTCCCACCGTCGCTGCCACCATTTGTATTAGAGTGTGTTAATACACATTTTGTACCATCGACAAAAGAGAATGTCAAACATTGTCACTTGACGATTCTCTTTACAAGTGACATTCACCAACATTAAACATGATCGATAGAAGAAGTCACAATTTGTTGGGGAGGAAAACAAAGAAGACGACGGTGGTTGTAAAAGGAGGTGGTGAAAAGAATAGAGGGTGATGGTAAAAGATGGTGGGCGCGTTTGGAACACATTAGTCGTTTCTTTGATTTCTCCTTTTTTACAGTACTTTCTAAATTAAAAAAGTTTGAACAAAATGGAATTTGACAAATTGTTACAGATTCTCATGTAATTATCCTAAAAGTAAAATAAAAGACTTATTAAGTTGTCTTTCACTTCTTGATTCACTATTTCTTTTCTTGATGTATTCTAATCTATATCTATATATATATATACTTTTTTTTGTAAAAAGAATCAAAATTTTTGCTTGAAATATTTATTTCTCTCCTACATTTTTTGCACAATTTTCCATCTCCTACAAAACATTCTTTTTATTGTGGCTTAATTTAAACT